GACATGTGATCAGAAAATCAGTGTGCATTCCATCAGCTAAAATTTTGTGAGAACAGTAGTTTAAGACTTCCACTGTGCAATATTAGAAAAAAAATTAAGAAGTTATGTAGGGAGCCATTTGATGGATTGGGAGGAATTAGCCTTCTGTGCTGCAATGTGCCATAGATAGCATGGCTGAGGGTTTGCTGAGTAAGGGCTTGGCTGGTGAAAAGCAACTCCCTCATCCGGAAGTAACAACTATTCAACCTGCTGTTTTTTATTTATCGTGTCAGGAGCAACCAGACATTTGTATTACATTTTTAACAAAGCAAACAAACAAACAGACAAAACACAAAGTTTGCAAGCTTGGTAGTTGATTAAATGTCCTTTGACCAGTATCTGGCCACTTGGAGTGCCTCTGGTGTTGCCGCAAGGAGGTCCTCCATTGTGCATGTAGCAGGGCTCAGGTTGCATTGCAGAAGGTGGTCAGTGGTTTGCTCTTCTCCGCACTCACATGTCGTGGATTCCACTTTGTAGCCCCATTTCACCTGCTGGTGAAACACAAGAAGCTTCTGTTAAACAGGCTGTGGAAGATTTAACTGTGCTTTCCTTTGTGGAACTGAGGGAGGAAAAGGCTCAGCTGAGAAGATCAGCAGGGCTTCCTGAGAAGAAGGTCACAACTGAGATCAGTTATGAAAGCAGCAATTAAGTTTTGCAGTGCAGTGCAGGATTGCTGGCTGCAACTTCTGTATCCACGTCTGGACCTTGGAACCTTGTCTCTTGAGTACCTTTTGGAATTTGGACTGTTCCTGGGCTGCGACTCTTGATTTCTAGACATAACCTCATTGCTTGCCATTTTGGTATTTGATTTTGACTCCAGACTGGACACAAGTCCTTCTGTTTGTTCCTTTGTGTTCTATTTCTACCAGGAACTAATTGGCTCGACCTTGGACTGTAATACTCTCCTGTCTGTTTTGAGGTCAAGTCTCATGGTATGATAAGAGTCAAAGCTTAGTATTTTCTAAATCTAAGAATTGGGTGTGCTGGGGTCAGTATGCATTCCATGTGAATGCTGTATGCATCCAGTCCTAAAAGAATATGAAATGTGTATTGATATAAATGGAGTATAACTCAGTTTGAGGAAGTCCAATGGCTTTGAACTTTGTTGTTGTTGTTCATTCGTTCAGTCGTCTCCGACTCTTCGTGACCTCATGGACCAGCCTACGCCAGAGCTCCCTGTCGGCCGTTACCACCCCCAGCTCCCTCAAGGTCAGTCCAGTCACTTCAAGGATGCCATCCATCCATCTTGCCCTTGGTCGGCCCCTCTTCCTTTTTCCTTCCACTTTCCCCAGCATAATTGTCTTCTCTAGGCTTTCCTGTCTCCTCATGATGTGGCCAAAGTACTTCAACTTTGTCTCTAGTATCTTTCCCTCCAGTGAGCAGTCGGGCTTTATTTCCTGGAGGATGGACTGGTTGGATCTTCTCACAGTCCAAGGCACTCTCAGAACTTTCCTCCCACACCACAGTTCAAAAGCATCGATCTTCCTTCGCTCAGCCTTCCTAAGGTCCAGCTCTCACATCCATAGGGAATACCAGGGAATACCATGGATTTGACTAGGCGGATCTTTGTTGCCAGTCTGATGTCTCTACTCTTTACTATTTTATCGAGACTGGACATTGCTCTCTCCCAAGAAGTAAGCGTCTTCTGATTTCCTGGCCACAGTCTGCATCTGCAGTAATCTTTGCACCTAGAAATACAAAGTCTGTCACGGCCTCCACGTTTTCTCCCTCTATTTTCCAGTTGTCAGTCATTCTTGTTGCCATAATCTTGGTTTTTTGATGTTTAGCTGCAACCCGGCTTTTGCGCTTTCTTCTTTCACCTTGATTAGAAGGCTCCTCAGCTCCTCCTCGCTTTCGGCCATCAGAGTGGTGTCATCTGCATATCTGAGGTTGTTAATGTTTCTTCCAGCAATTTTCACCCCAGCTTTGCATTCATCCAGCCCCGCACATCGCATGATGTGTTCTGCATACAAGTTAAAAAGGTTGGGCGAGAGTATGCAGCCTTGCCGTACGCCTTTCCCAATCTTGAACCAGTCTGTTGTTCCGTGGTCAGTTCTGACTGTTGCTACTTGGTCCTTGTACAGATTCCTCAGGAGAGAGACAAGGTGGCTTGGGATGCCCATCCCACTAAGAACTTGCCACAATTTATTATGATCCACACCGTCAAAGGCTTTAGAATAGTCAATGAAGCAGAAGTAGATGTTTTTCTGAAACTCCCTGCCTTTCTCCATTATCCAGCGGATATTGGCAATTTGGTCTCTCGTTCCTCTACCTTTTCTAAACCCAGCTTGAACATTTGGCAACTCTCGCTCCATGTATTGCTGGAGTCTTCCTTGCAGGATCTTGAGCATTACCTTACTGGCATGTGAAATAAGGGCCACTGTACGGAAGTTTGAGCAGTCTTTCGCATTTCCCTTTTTTGGTATGGGGATATAAGTTGATTTTTTCCAGTCTGATGGCCATTCTTGTGTTTTCCATATTTGCTGGCATATGGCATGCATCACCTTGACAGCATCATCTTTTAAGATTTTAAACAGTTCAGCTGGGATCCCGTCGTCTCCTGCTGCCTTGTTGTTAGCAATGCTTCTTAAGGCCCATTCAACTTCACTCCTCAGGATGTCTGGTTCTAATTCATTCACCACACCGTCATAACTATCCTCAATATTATTATCCTTCCTAAACAGATCTTCTGTATAGTCTCGCCACCTTCTCTTGATCTCTTCAGCTTCTGTTAGGTCCCTGCCATCTTTGTTTCTTATCATACCAATTTTTGCCTGAAATTTACCTCCAATGTTTCTAATTTTCTGGAAGAGGTCTCTTGTCCTTCCTATTCTGTTGTCTTCTTCCACTTGCATGCATTGCTTATTTAAAAATAGTTCCTTATCTCTTCTGGCTAACCTCTGGAATTGCGCATTTAACTGGGCATATCTCCTCTCCCTGTTTCCTTTTGCTTTCCTCCTTTCTTGGGCTACTTCAAGTGTCTCAGCAGACAACCATTTTGCCTTCTTGGTTTTCTTTTTCTTTGGGACGTACTTTGTTGCCGCCTCCTGAACAATGTCGCGGACTTCTGTCCATAGTTCTTCTGGGACTCTGTTTACTAAATCTAGTCCTTCAAATCTGTTCTTCATTCCACTGTATATTCGCTAGGAATGTTAGTGAGATCATATCTAACTGGTCTGTGTATCTTTCCCTGATCTCTTTAGTTTTATTCTAAATTGGGCAATAAGAAGTTCGTGATCTGAGCTACAGTCAGCCCCAGGTCTTGTTTTCACCGACTGGATGGATGTCCGCCACCTTTGGCTGCAAAGGATGTAGTCAATCTGATTTCGGTGTTGACCATCTGGTGAGGTCCATGTATAAAGCCGTCTTTTAGGTTGTTGGAAGAGAGTATTCGTTATACACAGCGAGTTTTCCTGGCAAAATTCTATCAGCCTGCGTCCCGCTTCATTTTGTTCTCCCAGACCATGCTTGCCTGTGATCCCAGTTGTCATTTGACTTCCCACCTTAGCATTCCAGTCTCCTGTAATGAAAATAATGTCTCTTTTTGGTGTATTATCCAGTAGGTCCTGCAGATCCTCATAGAACTGATCTACTTCTGCTTCTTCAGCAGCTGTGGTTGGGGCATAAATTTGGATCACTGTAATGTTGAAAGGCTTTCCTTGCACCCGAATTGAGATCATTCTGTCATTTTTTGGGTTGTATCCAAGCACCGCTTTAGCGAATTTCTTATTAATTATGAAGGCTACTCCATTTCTTCGATGTTCCTCTTGTCCGCAGTAGTAGATCTGGTGGTCATCTGATGTGAAGTGGCCCATTCCAGTCCATTTCAGTTCGCTGACCCCCAGAATGTCTATCTTTAGTCTTGACATCTCGCCAATAACAACATCGAATTTGCCCTGGCTCATAGATCTTACATTCCAGGTTCCTATGGTGTGTTGATCTTTAGAGCATCGGATTCGTCGTTCACCTCCAGTACCGTCGGCCGCTAGCCTTCCTTTCGGCTTTGAGCTAGCTGCGTCATCACATCTGGGGCTAGTTGAACTTATCCTCTGCTCCTCCCCAGTAGCATTTTGGCCATCTTCCGACCTGGGAGTCCCATCTTCCAATGGCATACCGACATATCTCTGGTTGTACTGGTCCATTTAGTTTTCTTGGCAAGGATACTGGAGTGGTTTGCCATTGCCTTCCCCAGGGATCACGCTTGGTCTGACCTCTCTGCCACAACCGTCCCGTCTTGGGTGTCCCTTCACGGTTTCGCTCATGACATCATTGAGGTGCTCAAGCTCCAGCGCCCCGACAAGGCGGTGATCCTTTGCTGCAGTGTGGCTTTGAACTATGACCCTTTAAAAAAGTGATTATTAAAACTCAAGTTCCATTCATCTCAGTAAATGAACCAGTTAGCTCTGCATTCAACCTGGTAATTTATATTCATAGAATCATAGAGTTGGAAGAGACCTTGTGGGCCATCCAGTCCAACCCCCTGCCAAGAAGCAGGAAAATTGCATTTGTGTGAGAAAAATTATTGAACATAAACAGAAAATCTCCATATTGCATCTCCATATACTATCAGGGGTGGTGGACACAGTGAAGCCCCAGGACCACACTTTTGTGGTCTCCATACCCCTATTCAAGAATACTGTAAATTTTAGCTAATTTTGCTCCCAAGTAAAAGAGAAATCCCTACAGAAGTGTAAAAAATGCCAAAGAAGTTGCAACAACACTGAATATCAATTATTTTCTGAAGGCCCTCTCAAAATGTTGAAATAAACTTGACTGAAATAAGGTTAATTGATTCTGCTGCATTTGGGCATTTGTCAACTTTCGGTCAAATAACTGGATAGAATAGCTGAATATTTACAGAAGATCTGGTTATCTCTGTTGCAGCTGAAAGCTGATTTCAGTGTATGTTATTATACAAACTTCTCTCTATTTTAATGGCCAATCAATGTATTTATTTATAGCCAGCTCCCGTGAAAAAGAAGCGCCCTCCAGTGAAAGAGGAAGATCTCAAAGGAGCTAGAGGAAAACTCTCTAGCAACCAGGAAATCAAATCCAAAACGTACCAAGTCATGAAGCAGTGTGGTGAGTGTGTACCACTATTCTGCTAGAAGTAGTAGTCATCTTTGAAATATAACTGTAGAATTTAATGTTATGAGAATCTCTGCCTGTGGCAGGAAGCCCTTTAAAATAGCAGGTCATCAAGCTCCCGGCTATGAGAAGCACATGTTTTCATAGTTTCTTTTTCTTTAAATCAGAAGCAGAGCATATGTGGCCCTCCAGCAGTTGTTGAACTACAGTTTTCAGCATCTCACCATGGGAGTTAATGGGAGATGCACTTCAATCAAACACGGAGAGGACCTCATTTGCCCCCAATCTGTTTTAACATGTGTTCAAGCAAAACTGGGACTTAAGTCTGCATACAAATGATACAATGTAACCTGTGGACCGACAGCTGTTTGAGCTCACATCTAAAATGTGCCTTGTATCATGAAGCATGTCACTTCTGCTTAGCTTTTCAGTCATAAGTGAAATTAAAATTACATGAGATAGGCTTTATTACAATTTAGGGTGCACCCTGGCGGTGCAGTGGGTTAAACCGCTGAGATGCTGAACTTGCTGACCAAAGGTCGCAGGTTTCAATCCGGGGAGCAGCATGAGTTCCCGCTGTTAGTCCCAGCTTCTGCCAACCTAGCACTTCGAAAACATGCAAATGTGAGTAGATCAATAGGTTCAGCTCCAGTGGGAAGGTAACAGTGCTCCATGCAGTCATGCTGGCCACATGACCCTGGAGGTGTCTACAGACAATGCTGACTTTTCGGCTTAGAAATGGAGATGAGTACCAACCCCCAGAGTAGGACACGACTGGACTTAATGTCAAGCGAAAACCTTTACCTTTACTACACTGTAGAATCAATGTAGTTTGACACCACTTTTAACTGCCATGGCTCAATGGTATAGAATCCTTGGATTTGTAGTTTGATGAGGCACTAGCACTCTTTTGCAGAGAAAGTTGAAGGCTTTGTAAAGCTACAAATCCCAGGGTTTCATAGCATTGAGTCTTAGCAGTTAAAGTAGAGTGGAATTGCATTAATTTGCCGGTGAGATGCACACTTACTCTGTCAGTGAGAAACATGTACCAAAGCTCCCAATTTTTTCATTGGTCTCTGGATTTATCAGCCAATGAGAACAAGGAAACACAACACAGGTCTTTCTTACGGATTACAGTGTTAACTTATTATCCCAACCATTTCCTCTCTTGTTATGGGCAGTAACTAGTGGATGTCCAATGTATTGTCAAAGGCTTTCATGGCCAGAATCACTGGGTTTTTCAGGCTGTATGACCATGTTCTAGAAGCATTCTCTCCTGACATTTCACCTGCATCAATGGCAGGCATCCTCAGAGGTTGCCATACATCAAGGGAAGTTGATGAGGAAACACAACATACAAACTATCTACAGACCCACTAAGAAAATCCAACAAATGCTACGTTCAGCAAAGGGCAAGAGGGATCCTCTCACTTCTGCAGGAGTCTACCGTGTACCATGCAGCTGTGGACAAGTCTACATAGGGACCCCCAAACGCAGCATTGCCCAAACACGAATCAAGGAACATGAAAGGCACTGCAGACTACTTCAACCAGAGAAGTCAGCTATAGCAGAGCACCTGATGAACCAACCGAGACACAGCATACTGTTTGAGATCACAGAAATGCTGGACCACTCTAACAACTACCATGCCAGGCTTTTTCCTCCACAGAGAAGCCATCGAAATCCACAAGCATGTGGACAATTTCAACAGAAAGGAAGGCACAATGAAAATGAACAAAATTTGGCTACCAGTATTTAAAAATTCTAAAATTATAACTGTAGATAAAGAAGAACCCTCTAACACAGGGGAACTCCAAACAAGAAACAATCAGGGACAGCTAATCACCTCTCAATGAAGGATTCCCCCAGTCAGTAGCAGGCTATACCTAAAAACTGTCAGGCCATCAAATGCTAATCAAGATGGCCAATTGAAACATTCACACCTAGCTCCAGCAGACAGGAGTTCTTTCTCCCACCCTGGACTTTCCAGAGATATATAAACCCAATTTTCCTAGTTTCTAACAGACCTCACAGCCTCTGAGGATGCCTGCCATAGATGCAGTCGAATGCTTCTGGAACATGGCCATACAGCCCGAAAGGATCTACAACCCAGTGATTCTGGCCATGAAAGCCTTCGACAAGACATAGACGGCTAACTTTATTACCATGCCCTGAGCCTACTTTCTCTCTCATTTGTGAAAAATCTAAAGATCATAGGATAATTTTCTCAGAGAAAGAGCCTTCCAAAACAGGTGTCATTCATTGGGCTCTTTTTGAAATCCATCTTCCCCAACGAAGCCCCTGCATATGTGAAGAGCAGTTCCTTTTAAGCATAAGCTGTGGGTCGTTCAATGAGATGCATGTCCTGTATTCTGTTTCCCTGGACCACAGCTGCCACTGGGTGCAGATTGCTCTTGCTGAGGCATTAATTGACTCCTGTTCTTTTTCCAGAGCAATCTGGCGCTGCCGCACCATCCATATTCAGCCGAGACCGCACAGGAGGGGAAACGGTTTTTGACAAGCCCAAAGAAGAGCCTCCAAAGAGTGTCTTTGGCTGACGGCCAAGTTCAAGATCTGTGATGAATATTCACCACTTCCGTAATCTACCCACCCCCTTTTGCCTTCACATACACCAGTCTTATTACTGCACTGTGGACTTAATCCTTTTAATTACTAGTAATTAACACAAGAACTTGCATTGAAAAATGCTCCTTTTTTGTACACACTGAGAGACACATATACACATATTGTGGGATATATATTTTAATCCCTAGCTGCGGAGGATTCAAGTAGGCTGATGGCAATAGAAGGCAGGCTGGTAGTATAATGACCAACATTGTTACACACGTACATTTTCTTTAAATATATGTTCCAGAAGAGCATCCCAATCCCCGTTGTGTTGATAATTTGTGATTTCAATCAATAAAGGCACGTTGGTTTCGATTTTGGCTCAACACCTTTTCCCCCTGCAGAAAAATGCCCTCTTCTTGTACAACAACTTTTGTAGACAGAAAATTGAAGACATTTCGATTTATGCCCAAGAGATTAATATGATGAAGACTGTTTACTATTTGCTGTTAATAGTGTTGTTCACAACAGCCAGTGGCTAGTTAATGACCGTTTAAATATAGTCCTTGATCCTTCCCAGAGTCAGTATTTCCATTCTGTGTTCCAGAAGAAAGATTTCTCCCTGAGGAAAAAACACACCCAGATTAAGTCTTCTTTTGACTCACTGAACTTTGACCTCCATGGGAATAGTCATTTTGAAACAGTGGCAAGATGGAGGTTTATTGAATCTTCACTGCTGCAAATCATAAGGCAAGAGCGCTGTGATATTCCCTCTCCTTCAGGTTGATTTTAGAAGACTGCATAGTTAACACACTCAAGGGAAGCACACGCATAGTTATTTATTTATTTATTTATTTATTTATGAGATGTATTTGCCACCCTTCTCACCCCAAAGGGGACTCAGAGCGGCTTACAAGTAAAAAGCAAATACAATATATTATATTATTACCATAGCACAATATTAATATTATATATTACATTATACTATAACATTATACTGTAATATTATTAGTAATATTACATTTAATATAAAATATATAATTATAATATCATATTATTAGTAGTAGTATTGTATTGTATTACATTATAATATTATCAATATTATATGTATATACAATATATTATATTATATATTATATAGTTAGAACACTCAAAGGGAGCTAAGTAAACACTGGTGAAATTGTGTAGCATTAAGTCTTTAACCATTGGCTTTAGAACCAGGGCAAGTACAGAAATAGTACTGTGAAACCTTCCAGTTTCCAAATAGTGTGTTTTTGTGTGTGTATAATTCAGCTTCCAACCCTTCATCCTGTTCTTCCAATTTTCTGTCAAACTTGAATAGCACCAAGATTGTTGTTATTCATTCAGTCATTTCCGACTCTTTGTGACCTCATGGACCAGCCCACACCAGAGCTCCCTATTGGCCGTCGCCACCAAGATACTTTTCCCAAAATGGACTCATGAGGCAGCTTGAATCTTAATAATAGCAGGTAGCACATACTAGTCTCATTCCAGTTGTATCCCCAAGTTGCAACCTTTAGTTTTCTGTAGGCAGGTGAAGGGATGGCGGTCATGTCTATGGGGTGGGGAAAGTAACATACTTACAGCAAGGATACAATCTCTCTTTGGAGCAACACTTCATCACTTACTACCACTTGTATGCAAGAGACATGTGCTGAAAAAAAATACAGATGTACCACAGTATTGCCACCCTGAATTCTTCCAAAATACATGTCTCTTCCTCTGCACAATTATATAAATAGAAAAAGACATACTAATGAAACAAAGGAGTTGGTGTGGTGTAATGACCTGAGTGCTGGACAAGGATTCTGTGAGACTAGGATTCAATCTCCCACTCAGCTGGACAAATCACATTCTTTCAGCCTTAGAGGAAGGCAACAGAAAACCTCCTGTGAACAAATCCTGCTAAGAAAACTATAGGATAGAGTGATAAGAGTCAATGTGAAGGCACATAGTAATAACAACCGAAAGATGAAAGGGGGCTTGTATCCCCACATATGGTTTTGAATCAATACGACCCCCTTGAGGGTTGGCCCTGTGCTTAGGGTGGAGGCCAGGGAAGTTTAAAATACACTGGGCACACTTTCTTTCTTCTCTTATATTACGGGAACTGGGGTGCGGGGTGAGCTCCCACTGTTAGCCTGAGCTTCTGCCAACCTAGCAGTTCGAAAACATGCAAATGTGAGTAGATCAATAGGTTCAGCTCCAGTGGGAAGGTAACAGTGCTCCATGCAGTCCTGCTGGCCACACAACTTTGGAGGCGTCTACAGACAATGCTGGCTCTTTGGCTTAGAATGTAGATGTGCTCCAACCCCCCCCCCCCCCCCCCCCCGAATTGGACCCAACTAGACTTAATGTCAAGGGGGAATCTTTATCTTTACTATTTATGTATTTAATGCATATCTTCCTTTGTCCCATATGGGACCTAAATCAGTGCACACTATAAGTTAAACTAATACAGCTAAAAAAAAATCCAGAATACCTAAATTAAACTTAACTTATTGAAAGTAAGTAGTTTTGAATTATGTATAGTGTTCTTTATTTCAGGAATAAATGAAATGTGCCACTCCAGATGTTGCTATACAAAAAACCTATGATCTCTTACCACATTTGCTTTAATTCTTCCCAAAATAAATATTTGTATTCTCATTTCTGAGTGAGGAATAATGACAGTTTGACATCTCTGCAAGACACTCCTTAGCAAGAAAGGTTAGGCAGTGAAATTGCCAGCTAGAGAGCATGTTTTGGGGGTGAAAACTCTCTCCAGAAAGTGAGAGACTGCGAGATCAACCTATGCATCTTCCAAAATGCTGCTCCTTGCTTGGAGACCTCAGAAACTTTTGTGGTCAGAAGGCAGGTGGTGAGACCTTGGGATTAACATGAGGCTCAAGCTGCTTTCTTAATTAGATTTTAATTACCTAATTTACAATTGAAGAGAGATCTTCCAGCTGGTGGTGAGATCAATGCTTCAGCAAGTTTCACTTCTTTCTGTCAACAAGAAGTGAAAAAATTACAGCTATTCACAAGATTTTAGTTTTAAAGTCAAACGAGTATGGTAAAACAAAGTTAAAGATGAGTGAGGGGTGGCAATTTTGAAATAGAAAAACTTCTCTCTCTTTTTGATGATGATGATGATGAATGTGCTTTATGAATATTGAAGTTGATTACAGAAAGTGAACAAACCTCTATGGGAATATGGAATTCCCATAGAGAGAGGTCTGTTCACTTTAAATGAAAGTAAGACTGAAAATAGCCAGATGGTGCTATTTGAGTTATAGAGACCTCATTGGGATTACTTTCTCAACTTAAAAAAAAAAGAGGCTTCATTTTTATTCCTAGCCCTATAATTGTTGCATTTTTACATTGGGTTTGCTGAATAAGAGGACATCCACCAGAAAAATGGCAAAAATGGTTGAATCAGAAATTCCACGGAAGTTGTTTGAAGAGGTTAGATTCATGAATCATTATATGCTAAAAACTGAAGATCAAGGAGGAGTTGAAGGAAAATTTGAAAAATGAGCTTGAACACATTGTAATAATAATGATAATAATAACAACAACAACAATAATAATAATTGTATTTATATCCTGATACCATCTCTATGGAGGGACTAAGGGCAGCTTACAAGCACTCCATATTGCCCCTTGTATTGGGAGACAGTGGCAGAGTATCACCATCGATTTTGACTAACGCTTCGTCTCAGATCTTTAGAGGACAGTGCTGGAAAGGCGTGAAACTCCAGATGTTCTTGGCCTGTAGTTCCTGGCCAGAGGTGATGAGAACAAAATCTGATAGGCCCATCCTTGCTGTAGTACACAAACTAGTCCTTGTAGTCCACAGGCAAGAGCCCAGAAGGAGAAACTCTATGCCAATGGAGAGGAAGGGTAATAGAGCTGTTCTTAAATAAGTGGATTAAGTCTTAGAGAATGAATTTCATTAAATTAATGCTGTAGAGCAATGCTGCCCCTGATGTGCAATGGAAAGTTGCTGCAAATTGTGAGAGAAATAAGGTTGAACACTTTGAAAGCCATTTACTGCATGGCTATCGGCCTCCTCCCAGTAGACTCAAATCAAGGAAATGTTTCCCCAGCAACAGCAAGGGTATCCCTCTGGGCAGCTAAATCAGGAAATCCCAACTGGATGCCCCACCCCCCACCCCTTGAGGGTCTGCCTCCAGGGACAAACCAAGAATGGGCAACCTGGAAGTCCCTGAACAGAAGTGGAATTGGCAGATCAAAAGATAACCTGACAAAATGGCACTAACCTAGAAGAATCCTCCACCTTGTCCAACTGTGCAGCAGAACAAACACCTCCACACCTGTGTGCTTGTCCATAATGCCCTGCCTCATGTACAGAGGAAAAATTGTTTAAAGCTACAGACAATGTGGTTGCTGTTACCCGTTTTTGGTCTAAAATTATTTAGCCACTTGTGCTTCCTCTGTTGTATCAGTTTTATACTTATTTATGCAATGCTTTTGACATTAAATAAAATAATTATTTTTTTTACTTTATTTGCGTAATTGGCCTCTCCTATGCAACAAGCATAGGACCGGACTGACCTTGAAGGAGCTGGGGGTGGTGACGGCCGACAGGGAGCTCTGGCGTGGGCTGGTCCATGAGATCACGAAGAGTCAGAGATGACTGAATGAATGAACAACAACATGCAACAAGCTGGCACTTAAGTACTGCGATGCCCACAATACAATTAAGCACGAAGAAGCAAACCTGTATCTATCATTTTACTTTTTATTCTGAACACAGCTTAGAATGTTAGGTTTGAACATTAATGGAATAATGCTAAACGATCGAAAACTGAAGAATTAATTCAGTGCCTTGGCAGTGAATTGACACTAATAACAGAAACTGATTAAACTCATAAGTAACAATTCACTAAGCAGCAAATTGGCAGGAACAACTGGAATTATTTATTAAACTGAGTAATTATTAGTTGACACATTGGAAAATTATTGTTGTTGGCTACACCATGGGATTTATGGAATTCATTTCTTTAAATAAAATCTTGTCCATCTAAAAATCACAAGACATGCTGGGATTAGATGGACATAGGGTTCATCTGGGCATAGGGTTGCTGTGAATTTTCTGGCCTTTATGGCCATGTTCCAGAAGCATTTTCTCCTGACATTTCACCCACATCTATGGCAGGCATCCTCAGAGGTTGTGAGGTCTGTTGGAAACTAGGCAAGTGGGGTTTATATATATATCTGTAGAATGTCAAGGGTGAGAGAAATAACTTTTGTCTGCTTGAGGCAAGTGTGAATGTTGCAGTTGGCTACCTTGATTAGCATTTAATGGCCTTGCAACTTCAAAGGTTGGCTGCCTGCTGCCTGGGAGA